AAGCAGCAATATGACAAAGAATTCCTGACAATCTTCCTGTAATGTTATAGTCACACAGTTTTGGGCAAGAATATGTGCATGTGTTCTTTGCAGTTATATCCGTCTATATGCATACATATAAAGAGCAACTTGTGTGAGGATAAATCATAATTGTGCAGCTCCTCAAAGGAAAGTGAGGGATAACAGTTTTGCAAATCTTACCACTGGGTATCAGCCCAGCCTCAGACAAGGAACCCTTGACTCTAGACAGAATAGTTAAAGTGCGCTGGAAGCTACTCTGTCTTGCCTGTAAAATTGGTTTATAAATTCTATATATAAGTACGCAGAACCCTAGTGGCAGTAAATAAATAAGACAGAGTAGCACAACAGAAGCATCATCTAAGATTCTACAAAATCTGTACAGTGGAGAGAAAGAGGGAGAGATATACCTCCCAAGGATCAACCATTACAAATTCTGAACTCTGGCAGGCTAGACGGCACAACTGTACACGATGTTCAGCAGATATAAGGCCCTACATTGCCAGCCAAGTGACCATGTCAGTGTGTGGCAATAGAGGGATATGTGATATCTGATCATATGATTTAGCTATAGCACTTCATTAAGCATGAAGAAGTGATAAATCTCAGAATTGCATTTACAAACTCATCCGAGTAACCTATGCAATAAAACAAATGGAATAAGCGCATTGCTTCTACAACCCTGGTTAAAAGGGATCCAGGAAGAAGTTGAGCTAAGTGACTAACTTCCATCCCAGAACCCTGTTAGGATCTCCTGCACATACTGTGTACCTTTACCCAAGTGCTTAGAAAGCTCTTGCTATTCCGATGCCTACAGAGATGCTACTAAAGGATACATACCCTCTTATAGTACGCATCATTAACAGGTGACATATAACCTCCAATGACACAAAAGCCTTCTGAACTCAGTGCATCTCTTGCCAGCTCTGTGCACAACAGCAAAATTGATCAAAAAATACAATAGATATGTAATTTACAGTGAAAAATAAGCAAAGTAGCCCAAAGTCATATGCATAAAATGAAACCCGTGAGGCCATGACCAGATTCAAATAGAGTGCGGAATTCACATATATGTAAATTCACAATTTAGCTGTCAAAATGAGAAAGAAAGCTAGTTCGTGCGACAACTTACCCAACATTCGTAAATGCATATAAGTAGGAGGATTGAAACTTCCAGTTGCTACTAGAACTACGTATTTCTTGTCCCTAGTAACCAAAACAGAGAAAAGCATAGAACTAATTCAATCATTGAATGCCAGACATATCCAACTATTCCACTAGTAACTAAAACAACAAAAAATAGTGAAATAAATAAAATTGACAATATGAACTTACTTGTCGTCGTGATTAACCAAATGCAGAGCTAATTTACTAAGAGGCAGAGTGATGTCCATGGCACCTGAAAAAGTTGAAAAACAATTTATAACACCTATCACGAAAAAGAGTTAAGAGCCTTGTTCGTTTTGACAGAAACTGATTCCCGGGAAGAATTATTGTTTGTTTTTATCAAATTCCTAGAAAGAGTTAACGCCAGTGTAAATGTCGCCGCTTGGCTTTCAATTTGAGCAGCATCGTCCTAAATTACGATAATGTGTCCAAGAAGACCTTATGGTATAAAATTTTGCACTGCTATGAAAACCCAATATGAAAAACTTTATTTTTCCTCAATTTCTTACAGTTTCCTACCAACCAAACAGCATAAACATCCACACGCTAGGTGACAAAATTAAATATATAAATAAACAAAGTAATAAGACAAACCCAGATTAGAAAATTCAAAAGACATAAAAAATGAATAACCTTTTGAGATTGGCGACTTAAAGGTCCCTGCTTTCGGCCACCTGGACCTGGTACTTGTCACCGGTCCTCGCGACGATGATGGTCAAGGAGGCAGGAGACCTGAGGCTCAAGGGTGATGAGACCCAAGCTTAGACAGAAAAATTTGGGTTCGCGCGCGATGGGTTCGATAGACGCGGCAGCTAGGTGGGCTGAGATTTGATTGGCAACTCTGGAAAAGTTTGATACAGAGAAAACAAAAGAAACGACGACAGTTTCCAAAGCTAAGGCTTTATATTGGTCTATTTTTATATGTTGATTTGCGCAACTGACACGCAGTCAAAGTTAAGACGAAAGTGGAATGGGAGGTGAAAAGTTTGAAACTTTGTCCGATTCTAATACTTTGTTTCCTAAGCTCTTGGGCTCTGCTAAGATTATGGCGGATTTCACAAAGCTCCCTGTGGCGTCTTGTGTTGTTGTTTTAGTTATGGACTCTGCCGTCCTCTCATGCCTTCAAAATTCCCATAGTATTGGCTTTGCAATCTCTTCTATTGCTTTTCTTCTTCATCGTCACCATGAGGTCCGGGAGTCCCAGCCCCAGAGCAGTTGGGCAACCGAACCAGGTCACTCTGAAGCTCACTTGGTCCTTACCCTTTTCATTTCATTGTTGAATTTGTGCTGAAATGTGCCTCGAATGTTATGCAGGTACAAGAACCATACAGTCGTGCAAGAAAGAACCCATTTTTCGATGGTCTGTTGAGAGCGGAAGATGGGACGCCTAGTCTTCCATTTGATCTCCAAGCAAGCCTTGGCAGCCGGAACATTTCTCGCACCATGTCAGATATTGGTAACACTCACACAAGAAATGCACATGATTCATTGACAGATATTGGTAACAACCCATTTCTTCAGCCCTTTGAACGGTCAAAAATTGACAAAACAGCTTCATTTGCATTCACGGATGTTCAGTCACTTTTTAGCTTTGACCCAAATGAGCTTATTGAAGCAAATGAGAAGCCCCCTACTGTAAATGGCCTAACAAGTCCCACAAGTGCAAAATCATTTAGGGTGAATAGAAGGAAAGAAAACCTGTCTACAGTTTCACTTCCTCAGTCTGCAGCATCATTCTATAATGGGGACTCACCAGAATTTGAAATTGTTGCATCGTGTCCAAGCATTAACAAGCTTAATTCATTTCTCAAAGCCACAAAGGATGAAGTTAATGCTGGTGTCCCAGGAAGATTCTTACATGTTGTAATGGCTCAAGATGTCCCTGGTAATGCCTATCTTGAATCCTCCTTTTCAAGTTATCTTTACTTCTCCTTTTTAAATTTCTGTATCATATATATACATATATATATATATATATATATAGAAGACCACAGTACAATATGACTTTCAAAATCCAATCCATGACAAGACAAACTTAATGTGCTGTGCCCTGAAATTCGTTGGAAAACAATTAAATTGTTATCTAGTCTAATGACTAATACTATCTACGTCCATTTCTTTTATTTCTACTGAGACTTCTTGACCACATTGGAATTCTAAGGATCTCCGTAGTCCAAAGTCCATGCAACATCTGTGGTCAGCTATGCATTCTATTAACACAAATTAAAAAGAAAAGTAAGGAAAAACTGTATGGAAATGCTGATAAAATGTATTTCTGAAGATCATTATGATTTTTTCGATCTGTCAGCCAACTTGTGAACTGATGTCAGAGTACACATTTTTATCACTCTTTGGTGATTTCCAGATGTTGGATCTATTGCTTCAACAATCACTTATGCCTTCTACCTGAGTGAAGCACGTAAAGGTGACCAGATTTGCACGGTGCCTGTCATCAACATGAAGAGGTTGGACATACGTTCTCAAGCTGAACTCAAATGGTTACTAGATTCTTGTCAAATTGATCAGTCGTCCTTAATTTTTGTAGATGAGGTATGTTCATATGTGAATCATGGGGATTTACTTATGTTGATTTTTTTCCTTCTCTAAGTTTCATGCCTTTTACCTGTGACTAGTTGGGGCCCTAAATATAAGTTTTCAATTACGACATGCCTGTTCAACTGATATGTTTATCCCCCACTATGAAATTTTGAGCAGATTGATCTGTCCTATTATGATCTATTTGGGAGTCTTAAAGTAGTTCTATTAAATGGGAACAAGCTCCCAGCCAAGCAAGAGGTATATTTAATTTGGGGTATACTCGAATTTTTAAATTTTTAACCATGGGAAATGACTAATACTTTTGTCTTCCTAAACAGGCAATGAAACAGGCAGTAGTTGAAATTTTCAATTGCAAAGAGGTGTTTTGCTGAACTCAATGCGGACTACTTTTAAGCTTATCTTCCTACCTCCTGACACTTTCAATAATGAAAAAATGCCTATTATAAGATTTCTTTTCTTTTCTTTTTGCAGGGCGAATCTGTATATCCCTGGGTTAAGACCGTTACTATAGCAGAGGTATGACTTTAGCGTTTAGACGTTAAAATACACTTTTGGTGTTTATATACATCCTTTTCATTATCTATCCTTGTTTTCCTGTAAGCAACAAGATTTTATAGAAGTGAGAAAAGAGAGAAACAAAACAAACCATCTTGTTATCCTTGATTATCTATGTCCTATTTATTTATCATGAAGGATTGAAAACTATGTATTATAATCTTACCAGCGTACTTGTCTCTATTGTTCTTAACATGAATAAATATGCTGATTATCGTGTTTTAAGAAACAGGATAGCTCATGCTGTACACTTGTTGCTGAAAAGTTTGCACTGATTTCACCTGAGATTTTGGCTGGACAAGGATTCAGTAGACTTTTGGTACCTTCCTTTTTCTCTTTGCAGGCTATAACATGTGAACAGCTTATTTCAAGATTGAAAGACCTTTTTATTGGTGTACATTCGAGCATCTGCTCTCTCCCTGTTCCTCCTCCACCATATAGGGCATGTACTTGTGCAGCAATTATATAAGCCCTTCCCATGTTTTTTATTGTGTGCCCATCTTGGTCGATTGTTAATTGATTTCTAGGAGAAAATTGTCCTTGGCCTTGTGGTTTTCTTTTATTCCTTATCCTTTTTATTTTCTTTCATTTTTTCCTTTTGTTGTTCCTTTGATCAGATTGAATTACGTCATATTTTCTATTCTTGGGTTGCCATGATGGCTCCTAATGTAAGATAGGTAGTCAAATCCTTACCTCCTATAGTGTAGCCCAGCCATTTGACCCCCCCCTGGGGGGTTGGAGTGGGGAGCGATTGATAGTTGATAGGTTGGATTGCCATGGACTTTACTTTACTCTCCATGCCTTATTAAGTTTTTTTTTCACTCTCTTGAATTCCTACTTTCTTGCAGTTAGCTGCCATCCTCTTAGATTCCGCGAACTTGTGTAGTCCTCAGTGTTCGCTCAAAGATAACTACATGGCTACACTGTTAATCCATGGTGCTGGTCGCTTTGGATGCAATGGTCTTTACCAGTTACGTATGTATTTTGTCCATTACATGCCTATATATCTTTTTTATTTATTTTATTTCCTCAAAGCGTCTTCCTCTAAATATAATTTTTGATTTTCAGTGAGATACAAAATGTATGATGTGTCTGATCTCAAGGTAGCTGATATATTGCGCAAGGATTTCAAAAAGTGGACAAGAGTGGGTATGGACTTGAACCTTAGTCCGCTTATATAATAGTGCAACTAAATTATTGGCATGTTCTGCAATAAGATTTTGTTGTTAACTGTCTGAAGATTCAACTTTCAATAAATTGATATGGCCGACTGAACTGGATGGCATAAAACTCAATAGAAATGATTGATAAGACACTATTAGGGAAAATTCTTAGATGAGCTGACTTCAGTTCATACAAATGGCCATCGCATTTTACTTATCTTTTGCAGACATGTTTAGACCATTCTCAGTCTAGTTAAAAATTTATATATATATATATATATATTTACTTTTTAAATATTTGGCTTAATTTAGCTATATCATGAAGAGAGCACTTGACTTTATACTGATGTAAGGCCTGGACTTGCATTACAAGTAAAAAGTATGAACCTATTTATGTTCACTGTGATCAGCTAAGCAAGATATCTAAAAGTTCATTTTTTGCATGCTTCATTTGTTTTAGTCCTCACATTCCAGTTATAGATATATGGATACTTTTTAAGTAAAGCACGTTAGTGCAGATAAGTCTGACCAAAACTTCCCATCAAAAGAGAAAGTAGGGCCAAAATAATCAATACAAGAGTCTAAATAAGGGGTTTCTATCAAAATCTGCTCAAAATAGTAAATAATCAGCAAGTCATGTTTGAGGGAATCAGGTCCCTCTATAAATATGTATTGGACTGGGTGCATTTCAAATGCTCACTCCATGTGCTCTGAGTACAAGGCAGATCCAGTTGGACGCAATCAAGAAAGAGTTGAATAACTGAGGCAAAAATAAATTAATAACACGATATTTCACTGAAAGTTTCCTCCCTGACCATTGACCATTAGCTCCTCTCTATTTTTAGCCTTGTCTAGGGATTTTTTTGGCCCTTAAACATAATGGAATAACCTTCCAATAACATAGAAATTGTTGAAACAGGTAAGCCAGACAGTGCTGGTTCTAGAATGATGGCATCACAAATCGGGATGAGTTCTATTGGAGTGCCAATTGCCCAACTTCTTGATCATGAGGACACCTCAGTGCGTGAAATTAAATATTTCCAACGTAAGTATATATTTTTCTTTCATTGTCATCATGGCTACTAATCTTGGATAAAGATTCACTCGCTCGAAAACTGGCTTGTACAACCTCTAAGTTACTTGCCCTACTTTTGATTTAGTCTCAGTTATCTTGCCACAAGTACATCTGTCAACTTCTGTACGAGTGTTTCTCCTTTTTCCTTGAAAAACAAACCCATTCCTCATATATTCTCGTGAAATAGTTGAAGAATAAAATCTTTCATGTTGCAAGGAACAGAAGTCTTGAATCTTTACTATTAATTCCTAGTCAGTTTGTTTACTAATTCATGATAGTATTCTTTTTTTATTCGGCTCATAAAGGCAGTATCATACTGTAATGTTGAAGAAATTATATTTCCAGTAGCTTTAATTTTCACTCACTCACACGTCTTCTAATCGTGTTTTCCCAATTACCACATGACATTGATGGATCATACCACCTGTTTAAACTATATACATATTTAGTTCTTTTTGTCTTTTTGGCTTTTTTTATATTTAAATTTCAGATATGGAGAAAATTCGGCTTCTCATGATTGTTTCTGGTTATTATGATTCGAAGAAGAACTTCAAG